TAGCAGCTACAGCACTGCGAGTTCGAAGGTACAAGAACAGCAACGAACGCCGGAAACAAAATCGAGCATTCGAGACCAATCAGCGAGGATTTTACAGGAACTTGCAGGCGCGACGGAGGGATACCAAACAGAACAACGTTCAGATTCCTACCTCAGATGCCATCAACACCTTCTGGTCAGAATTTGGAGCAATCCAATCCATCATTCCACATATAAACGGTACCGCCGAGAGAGAAGCAAATAATTCAACTTTTAGGCCCATGCTCGACTGGAAAGTTAGCTTAAGATGACGTGGTAAATACTTTACGAAAATTACCAAACTGGAAAGCCCCAGGATCAGATAAGCTTCAGAATTATTGGCTAAAAACGTTCACTTCGGCTCACGGTCGACTCGCAAAGTGCTACACCTCAATCTTAGAGCAGCCAGATATGTTTCCAAGAGTTCTTAACAATGGGAATAACATATTTAATCCCAAAGTGCGGCGGTCACTCGAACGATCCCGCAAAATACGACCAATCACCTGTCTGCGACTATTTACAAGGTATTGACTGCTTATAATTACTGAAAAGATATATTCACACCTAGAGCGGAAGACTATAACTAGACGAAGAGCAAAAAGGTTGCCGAAAAGGTTGTCGAGGCTGTAAAGAGCAACTTGTTATAGACTTTGTCATAACTAATTATGTAAAGAAGAAAAAATATCCCTGTACATTTCATACATCGATTATCAGAAAGCGTTTGACAGTATACCTCACTTGGCTGTTAGAAGGATGCTTGACCTTTATGGGATCGAGTGCCACATCAAACAATTTCTGGCACATGCTATGGCGAATTGGAAGACACGGCTCTATCTCAACACCCAAGATACGCAATTTAGTGCCGGAGAGGTAATCCATCAAGAGAGGAATATTCAAGGAGACTCTTTAAGTCCGCTATGGTTTTGCTTAGCGCTTAGACCGTTAACAACAATACTAATAGCCAAAAGAAAGGAATACTGTTAGGTGGCAATGAAACAACGCATTTCACATCTTTGGTACATGGATGACCTCAAACTTTTTGCAGAAACCAAAGCACATCTTCATAAGCTTCTGGACTGTGTAAGTAAATTCAGCACTGACATCAAGATGCTGTTTGGCTTAGACAAGTGCATGATCAGTTGCATGGTAAAAAGGCCAATGGAGTAAGCATTCAGGATATGAGCCGAACCAAGTGCAAGGGAAAATTGAAGGAATGCAGCAAGATGAACAGTATAAATACTTCGGCTATCTACAAGCGCCGGGCAAAGACCAGAAAGCTGCAAAAGAAAAAGGCAATGGAGCACTATAGAACACGTTTGAGGGCAGTGCTGAAAACAAGTTTGTCAGCTCGTAATACAGCACTTGCTGTCAGCACCTACGCTACTTCGGTCCTTACCTACACGGCATACTGAACTGGACGGATACAGAAACTGAACGCACTTAATGTGGAAACCAGAAAAGAATTCCGTAAACACCGGGGACACCACCCACAAATTTCCATAGAGCGGTTCCATCTACCACCGAAGTGAGGGTGGCAGAGGAATACCTTGCATACCTACACTACATCACCGCCAAGTGGACAATCTACGCCAGTACTTCCTCCAAAAAGCCACATCCAGCAGAATGCATCAAGCAATAACACAGACGGATAAAAAGTTGACACCACTAAACCTTTCAGAAACATCTTTAAACCCTGAGGCAAAGATAACCCCAATGCAGGATCTGGTTGGCCAATGGAAAGCCAAACCACTACATGGTCGGTATAGGAGCCGCATAGACGACAACGCCATTGACACGAAGGCTTCCCAAGGATGGTGCAGTCAGGTAATCTGTTCCTGGAGACGGAGGGCTTCATAGCCTCCATCCAGGATCAGGTAGTCCCAACAAAGTTGTACCGAAAGCGTATAAAGCATGAGAACGTTGAAGATATCAGATGCAGCATATGTGGGGAAAAAGATGAGCACATAGATGATATTGTAGCAGGCTGATCTCCCTTAGCTCCTAAACAATATCTTGAAAGACACAATGATGTGGCCAAAATACTTTATCAAGCTTTGGCTAAAAAGCATCTAGGAGAAACTGGTACACAGCCCTACTATAAATACACGCCGCCACCTGTGATAGAAACGGAGACCTCTAGGCTGTACTGGAACCGTAAAATCATAACTGACAGGCCCCCAACAATATTCCTAACATAGTGCTCACACTAAAAGAAGAAAGAACGACGTTTATAATAGACATAGCTGTGCCTCTTCCTACTAATATCCAAACCACCCATGAGGAAAAGATCAATAAGTATTTGCCACTCTCCGACGAAATAAAACGCATGTGGGAAATGGACAATGTGTCTGTAATAAAAGTTATCATAGGAGCTACTGGGGAGATACCAAGGAAACTACACAAGAGTCTGGAAAAGCTACAGCTCCATCCAAAAATATACTTGCAGTTGCAAAAAGCTGCACTGCTGGGAACATGTAGGACAGTACGTAGGGTTTTAGGAGATGAGAACCGGATACGGTGAAAAAACCGCTGCAGATCTATTTCCTTACTTTGGTGGTTAGCCTGAGGGAAATATTAATACCTTCGACAGAGGAGTAAAATAGTATAAAGTAATAATAATAATAATAATAATAGTAATAATGAAAATAATAATAATAATTATAATAATAATAATAATAATAATAATATTAATAATAATAATAATAATAATAATAATAATAATAATAATAATAATATTAATAATAATAATAATAATAATATTAATAATAACAATAATTATTATTATTATTACCATAATAATAATGATAATAATGATAATAATAATAATAATAATAATAGTGGTAAACAGGGCGCAGGTGTAGTGAGGGCTCCTACCCTTCGGAAGCGTCAGGAAGATGAGCCTGTAGCGGGGCCCAGTGGATTGTGTGGCACTGCCTCGCGAAAGGATTCCACACAGAGGCAAGTTCTGGACAAGAGAAGGGATGATACACCGCAACTTCGTGATAGTCACCACACGGAGGAAACTCAAAGTGGACTACTCGAAGTACTGGAAACAAGTATCTCAGCCGAAAAGACCAGGGGTAAAAGAATACCCTGGAGTGAAGAAGAGTTGAGAGAAGTGATGTGGTGTTATCATTACTGTAGGCTTACTGATAGGAATACCTATGTTGCAGTCTATAAGATGTGAAGAAGGCGCAACCCAGACTCCAGACTTAACATCGATGCAAACAAACTGCAAAACCAAAGAAGGTACATCCAACAGAATAAAAGGTTATCAGAAGAAGTCATAAATGAACTGATTGAAAGCAGTAAAGAAACGATCGATAGAGAAAAGACAGTAGACCATCACGATGTCGCACAGGTACCGGAAGAACATTTTGAAGAATCTGACATGCACAAAGAAATAAAGGACAAATATCTAAGCCTGATTGAAAAAAAGCGTATCTGAACGTGACTGTCTGCCCATAATATATACTAGTAAAAGAGCAAAGAGACTCATCGAGGAAGGCAACTGCATAGTTAGCAACATATTGCAAACACTGGGACAGAAAGACCTAATAAAGATGGATTGCCTCATTTATGGTACAGCATATGTGATTACATCAAAATTAGTAAAACCTACAGCGCGAAAAAGAATAGCTGGGACCCCAAAGCAAACACCTAACTGGCAGAGGCGGCTAAGTAATAAAGTTTTGACCCTCAGGAGAGACTTATCGAATTTAGTTCACATACAAAATGGCAGGCTGTCCGCAGAGTCGGCTAAAGGGAAGATGCTGTTAAACAAATACGTCACAGAAGGAAAAACGCTAATAGAGAAGATAGAGGTAATGAAACAACAAATCTCGGCCACTGCTCAAAGACTCAGAAGGTATAAGAATCGACAAGAGCAGCACAAGCAAAATAGTCTCTTTAATGTCAATCCCAAAGCATTTTATAGGGAGCTGCGAGAAGGAAAAAGGGAACCCATTGAAGCTCCAGCCATCTCTACAACTGAAACGTATTGGAAAAGTATTTTTGAGAAAAGTGTTAACCACAACGAGAACGCAAAGTGGCTGAAAAAGGTAGAAGGGGATAGAGCCACAACTATGAGCTGGCAAAATATCAGTGTCGTGGAAGTCAGATCAGCACTGCAGCAGGCCCAAAATTGGAAAGCCCCTGGTATAGGCCAGATACCCAATTTCTGGCTGAAACATCTCGTGTGCACACACGAAACAATAACAATGATATATAATAGTTACTTCGATAACGGAACAGATATCCCAAACTGGCTGCCAAAGGGTAAAACATATCTTCTTACAAAGTCTGGAGATAGTAAGGACCCCAAAAATTACAGGCCTATCACCTGTCTGAATACCTTGTACAAATTGTTAACTAAAGTTGTAGCCAGCAGAATATCTGATTATGTAAATGATAATAAGATAATACCAACTGAACAAAAAGGCTGTGGCAAGGGCTCTCTTGGTTGCAAGGATCAGCTACTCCTCTCGAAAGCCATTGTAGAAGATTGTAAAGAGAACAAAAAAAATCTTAGCATTGGATGGATTGGCATTCGACAGCGTCCCGCACAGCTGGCTCCTGAAATCTCTGAAACTTATAGGAACATCTGAGAAGATCATTGATCTATGTAAGCGATTGATTTCGCTATGGGGTACTACCCTGTTAGTCAGTAATAATGGGGAAGAAATAGAGTTAAGACCCATACAGATAAAAAGAGGTATATATCAAGGTGATACCTTGTCACCTCTTCTGTTTGTCATTGCGATGGTTCCTTTAAGTACGCTGCTCAACGAGGCCAACCTAGGTTACCAACTTAAAGGAGCAAATGATTGTCTCTCCCATTTGCTATATATGGATGACCTAAAGCTCATATCTCCCAGCAAAAACAAACTGAATACGTCTCTCAATATTGTAAAAAAATTTAGCGACGACATACAGATGAGCTTCGGTCTCGATAAGTGCGCTGTAGTCACATTCAGGAGAGGAATGCATTATGACTCTGATAATATAATAGTTGATGAAGGAGAGACGATCAAATCACTAGAACATGGCGGAGTGTACAAGTACCTGTGAATTAAAGAAGGCTCACACATCACCCACGATTCACTGAAAGTTGATATTAGACATGAGTATATAACGAGAGTACGTAAAATTCTGCAAACTCAACTCACGTCTAGAAACAAGATAACAGCAATTGGAGCTCTTGCCATACCAATCATGCAGTACAGCTTTGGTATAATCAATTGGACATTGGATGACATAAGACAAATGGATCGCAAAACAAGAAAACTAATGACAACACATAATATCCCTCATCCCAAAGCAGACATCGACAGATTATACGTGCCACGAAAGAAAGGGGGACGAGGACTAAAGCAAATAGAAGAAACGTACAACAATACTATCTTCTCAGTAGGGCAGTATATTCAAACTAGATCTGAGCAAGACCGCCTACTACAGATGTTACTAGCACATGACAATAGGAAACCAACAAATAGATCTATTGTAAAGCGTAGTAATAAGATCAAATTAGAAGCTGCGGAAGCCGGACATACGGTCGAGCGAGGTAACAGGTCCATCAAACTGTACTTGAAGCAATGTGTCGAAGAGAAATGGCGGAGTAAGCCTCTACACGGACAGCATATCCGTCAAATGGAGGAGCTTCCGGTTGACTTAAGACTGTCATCTGGATGGTTACAGTACGGAGATTTAAAAGGGGAAACGGAAAGCTTGCTGGTGGCAGCACAAGATCAAGCCTTGAAAACGCGTTACATTGAGCAAGCAATACACAAGACGAGGAATGACGGTAAATGCAGATTGTGTCACATTCATAATAAAACTGTTGAACATATAATATCTGCATGTCCAATACTAGCGCCAAAAGAATATACTGACAGGCACAATATTGTCTGCGCAGCCATCCATCTAGAAGTGTCTCGCCACCTTGGTTGTCCAATAAATCGACGAAATGGTATGAGCATCACCCCGACAGAATAACACGAAGTGAAGATGGTAGTATCACAATAATGTATGACCATCCCGTTATCACGGATAGAGAAATAAAAGCAAACAGACCAGATATTGTTATAAAAACCACCGAAATATGCTATATAATTGATATATCGATACCTGCAGATAGACATGTCATACAAAAGGAGGCTGAAAAGCAACTAAAATACAAATCATTACTCATAGAAGTGCAAAGAATGTGGCATACAAAGGCAGTTGTTATTCCCGTAGTGATTGGTTCAACTGGATATGTCACTCGCAACATCCTAGATAACCTAAAAAGGATACCAGGAGATCATAATTTCTATCAGTTATTAGGCACATCGCACATAATTAGGAAAGTTATAACATAACCAGCTCATAAAATACAAAGATCTGTACCCCTCAGCTCCTCGGCGAGGACCCGGTGCAGAGGTCAAACCATTCCATATAATACTAATACTAATAGAAAACGGTCCTGTAGCGTGAAAAAAAAAAGATGAAATAATAATAATAATAATTATAATAATAATAATAATAATAATTATTATAATTATATTAATAATATTGATAACAATAATATTAATAAAATAATAATAGTAATAATAATAATAATAATTATTATAATAATAAAAATAATTATAATAATGATTATAATAATAATAATAAAAGTTATAATAATAATTATAATAATAATAATAATAATAATAAGTATAATAATATTAATAATAGTAATAATAATAATAATAATAATAATAATAATAATAATAATAATAATAATATTAATAATAATAATAATAATTATTATTATAATAATAATAATAATAATTATTATTATAATAATAATAATAATAATTATTACCATAATAATA